AATATTATTTTATTTTATTTCACACTTCTCTATATTTTTTTAGTCTCAATCTTAAATGTATACTAATATTTGTCAAACATTCTTTAGGAATTTATATATAGATAACATTTGTCATAAATAAAATTGTTATTCTTTATTTTTTCTAGGAAGTGCTAAGATAAAAAAAAAAAATTGGATATCACAAAAATTTAAGGACTAATGAAATACTACCTAATTGTAAAAAAAAAAAAAAAAATTATAACCCGGCGGGTTGAACCCATTTTGACCCACTTCTAGGCGAGGCGGGTTGCGGTGGGTTGGTGGGTTGAAAACCTCAACCCAACCCGCCCCGTTTTGGCGGGTTTTGGCGGGTTGGGTGTTGCCGCTAACAGAGATAGAGACCAAGTTAAACGGCGACGTCTCAAGCATATGGTTAGGATTTACAAGAAGGGGGGATAGTAAAGGCTTGAAGGAATGGCAGAGTAACGGTACATAAAATATGATCCCTTTGCTTGGTGATGGAAGGGTATTTATAGAGGGAAGATGCCCTACTCGCATGGGGGGCGAGCCGGGTTAACTCTCCTTGGGGAGGGCAATGGGTGCCTGTCAGTCACTGATGTTGTGATAGCAACGTAGCCCGTGCTATGCTGGTGGTAGTCGTTGTTGCTGTAGCTGTGGGAGGGAAACTCCTATTTAGGGGGTCTGGGAAGGTTACTTGGGGAAGGTAGTATCCCAAGGGAAGACATTTTGATGTCTCCCCTCGGGAATGTTGTCCTATGGGGACAGAAAGGGTGGAGGGCTGGTAACCCTTAGCCAACAGGGCTGACCTGGATGAGAGGGAGGAATCTGGGCATGTCTTATTGGGCCGATCGGTTGGGGCCAACCAAAACAAACGCAAATAAAAGCTAAATTATTATTTCATTACCTACTTCATTTTGTCCTATACCGTTATATTATAAATATCTTTACTTTATTTTTTCATCATATATTGTAAAAATTAAATAATAAAAAATATAAGGAAGATTATATTGACAAACTTTTTTCTACAAACTTACAAACTACATTATGTCTTACCAGTAGGATTTCACTCAAGAGTGTCTTACTAGTAAGACAAAGTATAATTTGTAAAAATTTATAAACAAAAAGTTGTAAATATAACATTCCCCAAAAAATATAATCAAATCATTCTTATTTTCTTAAATTTAAAAGTATGTATCATACTAAATTTAATGTAAAATGATGAAGTATGGTATAATTTGATTAAAACATATTATATAATCTTTAATTAATATAATATTTTAAAAAAGGGATAAGATCATTTGATATCGGTGTCAAATTTTGAAATTTAACATCAAATCCTAACCATTGATTTCCGTCAATCAACGGTTATCATTTATTGGAATTAATAATTAATTATTGTTTTATTTCTAATAATTGATAAATGTTGATTGACGAAAATCAACGATCAGGATTTGATGTCAAATTTTAAAGTTTGACACCAGTGTCAAATGATCTTGTCCCTTTAAAAATATAATCTATAAATATTTGGGATTTGGATCCTCTCATGTGAAAAGTGGTCATGTTATTTGATCACACCACTCATTTAAAAATCATATATTTTTCTCTCTCTTATCTCATCATCAATGAGTGGAAATGAGTGGCTGTGATCAAATAACAAGATCACATGATCATTTTTCTACAGTTTTCAGTGCAACTTTTTCGTGGGCATGGAACGTGTCAGATATTTTGCATAATATTATTGATGCACACAATGGCAAAAAAAATTAAAATATTACTTTTTTTAATAAATAATTACCAATAAGTTGTTGTTTTGAACCTAATTACGAATATACTGCATTCATTCACGCCTAAATTGGACGTGACTCACAAGGCATTCACGCCTAATTTAGGCCTAACTCGTCTGTTGTTGACACGTGGCATAAAAAGTTAACAGTTAACCGTAAAACTTCAGAAGGCCATAACTTTTAACTTGGGTATCCGAATCAGGTAATTTTTTTTGATTCCACATAACTTTTCGAATCTACGCAATGACACCTCATTTGACATATTTTATCTCTCACAAACACATCTCTAATTTGCAGCAACGGTACTATATGAGTGTTTAAAGCCTGAAGCCTCCGAGTTCTTTCCGAATCAACATTAAACATTGTCTTCAGCCTATCCTATGGGTTGTATGCTTATCATTGTGATTAGAGACTTTATCTTCTAAGTCGTAGTCTGAAATTAAAGATGTCATATTAAAATATATACTTTCTACCAAGTGTTTGAAAAAAAAATGTACAAGGTTATTGAATCACAATACGTATCGTGTATCAATTGGCCAATTTTTCGTGTAGTGTATCATGAATCATATCGAATCGTAAGTTACAGAAATATAATAAAAAATAATTTAAAAATATATAACTTTTTTATGATTTTTATCAAACTATATCGTAAGTTACATCATTCTGTTTTATGACTTTTTTCTTTAAAGCTATTTGAATTATGTATGCCTAAGAAAAAGAATAAATACATTTAAAAAAAATAAAAAGGGGACTAATGGGTATAAGAAAAGAAAATTAAACCTGAAATCGAAGTATGAACTCTAAAGTTTGAAAAAGTCTCTGATACGAAACAATGGCTAGATTTTTATGGCTGGATTCATTGGAACTTGAAAGCTTATAGCCCATGTAGCACCGATACTGACACGGGACACGTGACACGATATGACACGACACTCCGACACGTTAATTCTAAAAAATGTTAGATTTCGACACGTTTTGATATTAAATAATATTTTTAATTTATGTAGTATATATTATATTTAATATTCAATAATTTAATAAAAAATGAATCTAAACTTATAATATTCATAAATTTTGCAAAGAAACATAAGATATCCCAAATATTTATATTAAACCCAATAAAATGGTAATCGTAATCCAACGAATCTAATAGTTGGAACTAAAAACATAACGCAACGTAACCTTTGAACCTTTTTTTTAATTTCTATAACGCGTGTTGGAGTGTCGGGGAGTGTCCGAGTGTCCGAGAGTGTCGGAAAGTGTCGGACACGACACGTTAGGATTTTTGAAGTGTCGGTGCGTCGTAGCTTATAGCCTTCGAATGGTTTTCAAAAATAAAATTATTTTTCCTTAGAGATTTAGAATATTTATTTAATTATTTCCTTTATTAATAAGGATTTTTCAAATTGATTTTTGAGTTTAAATCACAAAGCAAATCTTTATTTTGTTTTCCTTATTAATAATATTTGTTAGGTTTTTTTAATTTAAATCACAAACAAAATCTTTATTTATTTTTATATTAAAAATTAAAATTTTGATTTTTTTTTAATTTAAATCACAAACAAAATCTTTATTTATTTTTATATTAAAAATTAAAAATTTGATTTTTTTTAATTTAAATCACAAACTAAATCTTTATTTATTTTTTTATATTAAATCACAAACTCAGAACTTGGAGGCTTCTCGGTTTAAACTAGGGGTGTTCGCGGTCAGGATTGGATCGATTTTGGAAGCAAAAATCATCCTATCCAATTCCTTCGGTTTGATCATGTAATCATCCATTCAGTTTGGATTTTTTTTCACATCCGATCCGATCCAATCCAATTTTTTTCGGTTTGGATTGGATCATTTTTTGATTTTTTTTGAAAATCCTAAAATTTGTTTCATGATTATTGGGCAAATAACATCTTTTGTATATATTGGCTTTGTAATTTTTTTTAAATACAAAAGCATCAATAAAATGATACTATAGTTTTTTTTTTTTGGACAATGAGATATGAAGCTCTACATAAATGAAATTTTGTTGATGAGATGTGACTAAGTTTTTTCTTGGGTTTAGTTGATGAGTTAATGGGTCTTGGGTTTAGAAATTTTTGGGCTATTATTGGGTAAAGACCCAAGTAGGTAGAGGAAAATTAATATATTGGATCGGTTTGGATTGGATCGGTTTTTATCTACCAATCCAAAAACCGATCCAATCAAATTAAAATTTGCGTTTTTTTTGGTTTTCAGTTTATTCGGTTATCAGTTTTTTCGTTCGGTCACCGCGGTTTGGATCGGTTGATGAACATCCCTAGTTTAAACACTCTTATAATACCATATTGCAAATTCGAACTGTGTTTGTGAGAGATAAAATATGTTAAATGAGGTGTCACTGCTTAGAACTTGAAAAGTTACATCGAATCAATTTTTTTGTACCTGATTTGGATACCCGAGTCAAAAGTTATGACTTTCCAAAGTTTTATGATTCGTAAGTTGACTTTTTTGTGTCACGTGTTAACACCAGACGAGTTAAGCCTAACTTAGGCGTGAATGGTCACGCCTAATTTGATCGTGAATGAGTCTAATAATTCGTATATAGTTTCGAAACAAGTATATATTCATAATTATTTATTAAAATAGTAATATTTTAATTTTTTTTCCACACAAAGTAGGAATAAAAATTCTCAACTATACTCAGAAATGAAACCCGACCAAATAAATTATGTACATTACTTTCTTTGAATAATCAATTTTTAAGAATTTGTTTTTCAAAACTTGAACCAGATATAAAAATATTTCATTTCCACATTAATAACCTTACAAAATTCAAACAAAACTCCCTATCCTAAGTTCATATGTCAGAGTTTCTTGGGCAGTTTAGTTGAAATATCTCAATCCAATAGTTTGTTGGTTTAGTGACAATTCAGCTGGACTTTAATTTTGACTTATCTACAGGTAGTGAGTTCTATTCAAACCCGAAACTAAATTAGACACGTCTATTAGAATAAAATAAAATAAAATACCCGGCAATTAATAATCAATCAATATTGCTACTTATCAAATAGAAAGTCAACAATGAAAATTGCTTGCTTATTGGCTCCACACACAAGAATGAATGGAGTTAGTTTCTTAGACCAAGTGCATGGAAACTGAAATCCTACGATATGTGGACCCATAAAACTATATAAAAGATATTTGGACGGTTACAATTTCCTTTATTCATTCACAAGAGATACCATTTCTTCCTCTGTGCCAGAAACTGACAGAAAAATGGTTCCCTGGAATTCATTTCCATTACAAGTCATATATCAAGTACTGGGTTGGTTAGCTTTTCTTTCATGGTCCATTTGTAGCTACCCACAGATCATCTTGAATTTTCGTAGAAAAAGGTTCTTTTTTTAATGGTTTTATAATTCTTATATATATATATATATATATATATATATATGGTAGGTTATATTTACAAACTTTTTTGTTTACAAACTCTTACAAACTACACTATCTTCTTCCGAGAGAACACTGTTACTTATGTTCTCCGGGAGAAGATAATGAAATTTGTAAAATAAGTTTGTAAACGGATCCTTCCCCTGTATATATATTTTACTTCTTTTTTTTTGGTTCATACTCAAGTGTTTTTGGTTTGTTTGGTAATCAAACTCAGTGTGGTGGGGTTAAGCTTAGATTTTGAGATTCTAAACTTGACTAAGCACTGGTCATATCTGATATACAACGCTTCGCTCTTCTTTAGCCCTGCTATTCAGAAGCAATATTTCGAGAAGTATGGTTATGGACAGGTTTGTTCTTTTTCTTAAGGAATAGTTTACCTTTTTTTTTTAGTACAAAAAAGTTTAGGTGTTGTTAGACACGGATATACCATTAAAGTCAGGGTAGATCTCTCAACCTGTTTGAGGATTTCTGAGAGGGATTACAGATCACCCACTAACAAGATTCTCATATTAGCCAGTAGGAATCGAACTTACGTCCTTTTGGGGATGAGCCACATCCTTAACCAACTATGTCCCCCATGGTTCGCACAAATAATTTAGCTTTGATGCAAGAGAGCAAAAGTTTTACATTAATATTTAATGAATTAGATTCACTATCTTAACAAGTCAAACTTATTAAGTACTGTAATAACACATAGTGTAAGACTTTGTTGTGCTACATCGTAACTAAATTCTTTAACCTAGGAGGTTGCAGAGTTAAAGTTTAAGTGGAAACACCAAATGGTGGCAGCTCAATTAACGTACGGGAGCTGAGCAAGTGAGGGTGAGAGCATGTGTTCGACTCTCCCTAATATCACATTTGAGAGTGGTTTAAAGTCATAATCTTGGATCCGTCCCGAATCGGACTAGTGCAAAATGACAAACCGATTGGGTTACTTCCAAAAAAAAAAGTTTAAGTGGAAACTGCTAGTAAGAAAATAAATATTTTTTATACCTATGTTAGGACCTTGGATTAGAAAGAAAATTAATATCTGTGTATACAATTTATCTGTTATAGTCACACCAACCCATCCCATGCATATGCCTCTTGGTCCAAAATAATTATTGTAGAAGGCACCTTCACACAAGGGCCCTTCGGGTTTAAAATGTGGACAATGTATATACCCACTTGCTGATCGAACTCGTGATCACTGATACCTTGTAAAACGTTAATTTAATCCAAAGCTTAAGTTGTTAGGTGGAGGTTACCTTAATGTTTTTTATATTATATTTCTCTAACAATTTGTACTCACAATATGTAGTTTTGCTTTCCAATCTCTTGTTATTGCAGATGATACCTGTAGCTGCTAATGATGTTGCTTTCTCCACCCATTCTGTTTTAATGAATTTGATTATATTATCCCAAATTACAATCTATGAAGTAAGTAAACAATTTTTATTAAATATTTTCTTTTCCTCTTATAACTATAATGCTTTGAGTTAGTGTTGAGCTCTTGATAATTCAAAGATAGTAAATTATCTGCTGTTTTTTTCTTCATGGCTTTTGCAGCGTGGAAATCAGAAGTTCTCCAAATATGCCATTGCAATAATTGTTGTTGTGTGGTTCAGTGCTGCTGTTTGTTTTTTCATAGCATTACCTAGCCAGTCTTGGCTTTGGCTAATCTCCATCTTCAAGCAAGTTTCACTCTTCTTATGACTCAATTTTTTTTAATCTATCCAGAGGGTTTTAAATGTTAATTAAGCTCTTCGGATTATGATACAGATTAATAAAATGGCTGTGATTAGTATGTTTGTACTTGTTTACTTTCTAAAATTCTTGTGTTGTATCCACTAGCATGTGGATCAACTGGCATTGGTTGTTCTAGGTTAACCAATGGTCTCAAATTCGAGCTCTGAGTATGTAGTTGTATCAAAAACTTGGTAGGGAGAGTTTTGCTACCTTTGTGGTCCTGCTGGCTCGAATTTGGATAATTGACCCTAGTTGACAACTGGATATCGGAGTGTGGGGGTAAGTAAGATGACTAGTTAACTTAGATAAGTTAATTATGGTCATGATTTAACTTGGCTTAAAGAAATCTTGCAGAACTATAAAGTTGAGATTATGGTTAAATATTCCACAGTTTCTTCAGGTATCTGTAACCTGCGATCTCACTTTAAAGTTTGAGCCCATTTCCCATACATTTTAATGTCCATAGCGTCTTTGTTTATGAATCATATATCATTTAGGTATTGTAAATTGATGTAGGGTTGTAGTTAGGAAAGGTTTCTATCATTTCAGTATAACATTGCAAAATATCAGCCTCTTCAATTGTCTTTCAAGGGAATGTTGATATTCTTCTGTTTCTTTTTTATTTTTATTTCATTATTTTAATGTAATTGCTAATATTAGAGGATTGTTCCTTGTGACCAGAAGGTCACGGGTTTGTTTATTGGGAAACAACTTTTTTGCAAAAAAATGTAAGAGTAAGATTGCATACACTCGATCCTCATCCTACCCTTGCAAGTCGGGAAGCCTTGTGCACCGGGATTTTCCGTTTAATGTAATTGTTAATATTATAGTTGTCTTATGAGCTGAGGTATGATTATATTTTCTTCTAATATTTTGTGGAAATCAATTATATTGCAGCTCAATTCAAGTATGTATGACAGTCATCAAATACTTTCCCCAGGTCAGAATGCTTTACCCTACATATTATGTTATATATGATCATCTTGTTAACTTCATACAACTTTTGAACAAGGAAAATGATATTTAATTGATTAGCCATCAATATTTTGTTGCTGAGTTATGGATATTTGGTTATGAAATATAGGCATTCATGAACTTCTTGAGAAAGAGCACAGATGGATTTAGCATTTGGCGTGTTCTCCTTGATTTTTCTGGAGGGGTCTTCAATTATTCACAAATGGTTGTGCAGTCTATAGATCAAGGTTTGTGATTTTTCAAGCAATAGTGATTTAGACCTTGCCATCAGATTTTATCCTTAATGTATGTTATGAATTTCAACTTGATCTATATAATCTAGGTTCCTGGGTGAACTTCTATGGAAACATTGGGAAAGTACTCATATCCTTGGTATGTCATATTCTCAATTCTTTTGTATGGTAAAACTAAATTTATAGAACATATTTAAAATCCATTCAAGAAGTAGGCCTCGTGAGATAAATGAAATGACACAATGAATGTAAGAATTTGCTTAAACTTTGAAAATCATAAAAGAGTCTTGTTACATGAGTTATGTATTGGAGCCAATAACTACTGTGAAATTGATGTTGATGTACCTTCTCTAAATTACACCATTGCAGGTAACAATAATCTATGATTCTATTTTGATGTTACAACATTATGTACTATATCCTGAAAAGAAAAAGACTTCTAAAAATTCTGAAGAAATCAAGCAACCACTAACTTGTGCAAATCCAGTAGATCAACAAATTAAAGATTCATTCAAATCTGCTAATCAGCCTCCAGCAGAAGTATGAGGTGTAACTTGGATCATATAGTGTGCAATGCCAATGTACAAATGTACAATGTCCTTAAATTAGGCACTGTAGTCTATCAAAGGATTGTAATCTAAAGTCCCCCTCTTTACCACAGGTGATGTGCAAAATATATATATAATATATTTATTAGAAAGAAATTTTGTTTATTTGATACAATTATTAGGTGCGTATTTTTCTTTACTTTCTTAGCCAACATGTTAGTGTGCAATACACCGTGAAGAATTATCATGGTAATTCACTGTAATTAGACTTATAAAATCACATTTCAACCCAAAATTTTAAGTCGTTAGATTTATGGGTCTTTTCTGTTGTGTCATGTGGGTCTCATCATATGCGTGTGAGGTTACGTGAGACTGCATCTTACGTGAAAATCAAATAAAAAAATATTATGTGATGGAAATATTTTGACATGTAATGGAATAGAGAATTGGACCCATGTTAATCCAATACACTTATTAAGAACACAATCATGTTAGAACTCCAAATGCAGTGTTAAGTATTTTGCCCCTTAATTTGTTAATTAAAAAATGCACGGATCTTGGAAAATGTTTTTAAATCTAAAGGTTAAAAAAAAAGTGTTAAGCTTCTTAAAGCTGGACTGTTTAATATCCCAGACATCCTAGAACTATGGACTGAATAAAAGCCAACAAATAAGCAATGAATTTTCATTCAATAACCGTAATGGTTTATTATTAGTTTAGTTATGGTATTGTGTTCTTAGAGGGTAAGCTACTATCATCATGAACATAATTCCAATAATAAAAAAGGGTAACTATTCATGGTCTTGGCAGCATTAGGCAACATTCATTTTTTTTCCTCCTAAGTAACAAAGAATGTAGAAAACAATGGCCAAACCTTTAACTAAAAGTTAGAGCCTAAAATAAAAAGGACAATTAAGAATTGAGTTTAATTTGGATTCAATGTAACTGCGAAAAATTTGTATTAACAACAACATACAAAACAAATTTTTCTAGTGAATATCATTGTGTCTAAAATCCTAACGCAGGTAACTAATTCGATTTTAGGTTTAAGTCTTTTCACTCTCTCTTAGAATTGTTACATAAGAATTACGGACATGTCAATTTGAAGAAAAAAATGTGTGTTGGGTTTTGACACGCGATCAATGTTTTCCTACACATGATCAATATTTTCCGATACGTGGTCAATGTTTTTCAACACTTTTTTTAGATCCAAATTTTATTTATTTTATCTTTTTAATTAAACATAAAAAATTAATTTATAAATCAAATATTTTCTGTTATGAAATTTGACATGAAAAATTAACAACATGAAAAATTATTTTTGCTTTATATTTATATTATGAAATTGAATATTTAATTGGTTATATAACTTATTATGAACTGTTATATGTATTAAATGTAAACTATATTATATATATTGAAAATATTATTTAATATCAAAATGTGTTCAAATATGTTAAAATTTTAGAATTAACGTCTCGGCATATCGTACTCGATGTTCCGTATTGGTGTTGGTCCAACATAGATTGTTACTCTCAAAAGGCAATAACAATCGAACGAGAGGTAAAATTTAAAAAAAAAATATTTTGGTGAAATTAATATTACTGAAAATAAAACATTTGAAGTGGTGTGGGGTGTGTGTGTTAAGAGTGTGTGTAGTGTAGGGTGTTGTGTTCAATTCCTTGTAACCTTCAAAAAAAAAAAAAAAACATTTGAGATTTTAGTAATGCTTAACGCCTTTTGTTGACAATGTTTTTGGGTAACGATATATACATGGTATTTTAGTAACGAAAGAATTGGAAAATAAAAGAGTAAATATCATTTTTGGATCCTTAACAAAAAATATGGTCCTCACTTTAGTTCCTTACAAAAAAAATTAGTCTCAAGGTCTCTAAGAAATTCAAAATGGACCCATTTAGTTAAAATTGTGGTTCCTCACAAATTCAAAAAAATCTCATATTAGTCCCTCAAAAGGACTAAAATGGGTCCATTTTGAATTTTATAAGGACCAGACGACTAATTATTTTTTTTGTAAAGGACTAAAGTGAGGACCGTATTTTTTGTTAAGGACTCAAAAGAATATTTAGGTTGTATTAAAATTTGGAGACTAAAGTGAGAAATTCCTTTTATTGAGCCAATATGGACACTCAATCACGGTTTAATCATCTTTCAATCACAAATTTAACCGCTGAATCAATTGAACCATATAAATTTTATAAGAAAAAACAAGTCAATTGAACCATAACTTAAAAATATCGTGTTTAATTTGTAAAGATTAACGTAAAGTAAAGCTAAATTATTCTTTCATTATATAGCTTCATTTTTGTCATATTTTTTTTTTTTTGGTAACAGCTTCATTTTTGTCATATACCGCTATATTATAAATATCTTTATTTTTTCATCAAGTATTGTCAAAATTAAATAATAACCTAACAAACCGCTCTGAATGAATTGAAGCCCTATCTCAAATCCTACAGTTCTTCCGATTCCTCTCAGCTCCCACACTCTCAGGTTCCAATCTCTCTCTCTCTCTCTCTCTCTCTCTCTCTCTCTCCTTTTTCTGCTTCTCAATCTCTTTCTCTCCTTTTTCTGTTTCTCAATTTTCTGAAATAAGAACTTTATTAATAACTCAGAAGCCAATGGAATTAAATGATTAATTACATTGACAATTTTATTAAGATTCATTTGGTGCCAATTGATTTATGGTAAACTAACTGTGCAACTGGGCTCTGATCTAATATTTCGTTTGTGCTCTGTTCTGTAATTGACTCGTTTATCTTGTAGTCTTGTTGTTAATTTTAGCCATAATCGAATTCGTTGTGATTTGGGTTTAGGGTTCGGTTCATTGCTTTGTGCATTGCTATTTTTTTTTTTTACTATTATTAATGCATTGGGTAATCCTAACACTAAGAGTCGTACTCACCTTTGCTAAAGCCCTTAGATGCAAGTAGAATATACCAAGTGAGAGTATTATAGAGGAGAGAAGGTAAAAAACTATAAAAAATACGCAGTAGTTTCAGTTAAAATGACACAAACTTATATCATTTAAAATGACAAACACTATATATATATATATATATATATATATATATATATATATATATATGTATGTATGGGCTTTGATTTTCTCATGTTGCATGAGAATTCATGTTGTGACTCAACTAGTGGTGAGTCCCACATTTATTAAAAAAAAAAAAAACTTTGCACACAAGTCGAAGGGTCACAAAATGAGAATTCAATTCTCATGCAACATGAGAAAATATTTTTCCTATATATATATATCAAAATTCCCAAAGTGCCTTTTTTCTTTCAAATCCATTGAGTGGCATAAGATAACTTTATCTAGAGAAACACTTATTCTCTCTATATATGAAGGAGCTTATACTTATAACCTCTCTTTCCTTACAATCTCTCACAATCACTTTTATAATTGTTGGATCAAAATCAAATCAACGGTTACAAAATGACATTAAATGAGAACTATTGATTTGATTTTGATCCAACAACCATAAAAGTGGTTACAGGAAAAGAGGTTCTAAATATAACTTCTCCCTATATATATAAATATAAGTTCTCCCGTGATGTCATATGTCACAAGAGATAAGGTATTTTTGTAATTTGAATTTATTTTGGGGTTATATTAGTGTTTGTTATTATAAATTTTTTTCCTCCCAATTCCAAAATGACTTCATTTTGGGTAATAAGAGATAAATTTATCTCTTATGACAAGAGAAACATTAAATCTATATATACACACACACACACACACATATATATGTATATATAAGGACATGATCATTTGACACCGGAATTTCAACCGTTGATTTCTGTTAATCTGATGGTTATAATTTATTGGAAATTAATAATTAATTTATAAGTGTAACCCAATAAATTATAACCGTTAGATTCACGGAAATCAACGGTTAAGATTTTGTGTCAAATTTTTTAGTTTGACACCGGTGTTAAAGGATCCTGTCCCGTGTATATATATATATATAGAATCCACTGTTAGTTTATTGGTCTAAATTTACATTATTATTCAATCATGGAATGATGTGTTAACACATCATTAGATAATGGTGTAAAAACTATATTTCAATGAGGAGCTAGCCTTACCAAATGATGGTAACTCAGTTGGGGCATGGGAGTTGAGTAGGTGTGGTGATAACATTTGTTCGATCCTCTTCAGTACCATCTTTGGGAGGGGTTTAAAGCCTTAATTCTGGACCCGCCCCAAACAGAATTGTTTCCCTAGAGGATACCTGTAGTTTATTCAAAATAAAAATAAAAATGAGGAGTTAGCCTTATGGGCTGTACTCCGAGAAAAAAGTGGCTGGAGGAGATTGTGCGGGGATAACTTCAGGTTATCTACCAAACAAAAAAAGATAATGGTGTATAAAAGCTTTACATTTTGCAATGATGGGTCAAATTTAAACATTATGGTTTTGTTTGGATTGTTGGAATAGAAATGAATGGAATCGAATGGTATTAATTGCTATTGTTTGGATTGTTTAAAATAGGATGGAATAAAATGGAATTTATTTTATCCTATTCTACTAAGAACCTATATTTTTCTTTCCCCCTTTGGCGTATGAGGTGATACCAACTTATTATTTACTAATTTACTAATCTCCTTACCATTCCATTCACTTTCTAAACAATGGAATTGAAACTTTCCTACGCTTCATCATAAGATATCCAAACAATGGTATGGTAATTTTATTCTATTCCATCCCATCATCCTTCTCAATTTCATTCCATCCCACGCGTCATTAGATATCCAAACAAAGCCTATATGGGTTTTGGATTTGGTTTTATGCAACAATCAGGTCTCTATTCCTACATAGATTGACTTGAGTTGCAAGTTTCTACTCTGATTCTAAAGGTTTGCTTGTTTTAGTTGGGGAAAATTTTGGAAAGAAAATCATTTATGGATACTTGCCTACATGGTATAAAGAATATTAATCAATAGAAAATACAGGGAGTTGCTATGGTACTACCCAAGATGAGTTGTCCCATATTTGTTGATTGTTGGTTCACAGTAAGTGTTTGAAAGCCTATTAAATATAACCAACAGCCAATAAATGTTTGACAATTCACCTTGGATACCGTACCTATTAAAATATATGAATTCTATAGTAATCTGAAAAATAGAATGTGTTCACAGGAATTGCTATGGTACCTAATGTTTCTTGGATGGTGATACCCTTGATGAGTTCCAACAATTATTGTTAGCCTGCCAAGTACAATTAGTAGCTAATAAATATCAAAGTAATTCCTTGTACTCATTTCTCACTACCATAGATTTAGTAGAAAATCACTTTCAGTCTGTTCTCCGTTCTCAATTTTTTACTCACTTTCCACCTACTCAACCAGGTGGACCCATAAAGCTTAATGTTGTTAACCGGTGACCTTAGTCGTGTGCTCTTTGATTTGTGTTATTGACATACCATGTAATGTCAAGCTACAAAAGATTCTGAACTATATCAACACTATCTGCATCCAGGTGTGCCTGGATATGTTTATGCATTACAAAATGTCAAAATCCACATTCAAATTATGTTGCCCATTTCTATCTTTTTCCTGCTGAAGAAATTTAAGCTAGTGATCCTTTTCTTCTGACTCCCTCTCTCTCTTGAAGAACAAAATTTTAGAGTGAGAGTTATGGACATATAACCTGCCCAAGTTCTGTGCAACTTACATGTCAAAAGTAACAAATCATAAGGAAATTACATATATTATTCAGTTTTGTATTATTATTATCTCTTCTCAACAATAAAGTAATAGAAAAGGAAACTGTAATTAATGATTTCTGTTATATCCGTTTTCAAACGGTTTAAAGCATTTCTTTCTTACATATTTTGCAGCAGAGACATAATATATCATATTCTATTTTATAATAGAGCCATGGTTATATTTCTGATCAACTGTTCTTAATATGCATAGTTAATGCCGATTGTCTTCTGTTGCTATTGCATTTTGCCCCCTTACTTGTTTGCCTTTTTGTATATATAGAAAACAGGTCCATGGACGGCGCTGAACCTGATATAAAAAGGCACCCCCAGGAAGTTGATGCAGAAAATGAATGTCCAATATCACCTGGAGTAGTGATTGATATGGGACAGGAGAGTCAGTGCACCAAGGATTCCTTTGCTACAGACAGTAAAAAGGTCATTGACACTGAGAATGAGTGTACAAGCCAAAATGTTTGTCAAATTGACCGTAGTCAGGCGGAAATTAATGATGAATGCCAGACCTCAAATATTTCCCATATTGACAAATTTCATATTGATGTTGGTAGTGGACAGCCATGTCAGAACCACAACATTACCTCTGTTGATATATCAATGAACAATACTGATGTAAAATATGAGGAGGAAATATATGTGGCACCAAATATTGGCATGGAATATGAATCAGAAGACCATGCTTACAAGTGCTATAGCAAGTATGCTGTTTTGAAAGGTTTCAGCATAAGAAAGGATTTTGTCAACAAAAGTAGGATAGATGGTGCAGTGGTGTCCAGAAGATACACCTGCTATAGACAGGGTTATCGTCCTAACAAAAATACCACAAACCTAAGGAAATTCCAGCAGGAAACTAGGACTGGCTGCTTGGCACATATGACTATTGCTCGTCAGCCAAATGGCAAGTTTCGTGTCACTCATTTTGAAACAGAGCATAATCATGAGTTTGTAACACCCTGTACTGCTCATATGTTGCCATCACAGAAAAGATTGAGTTTTGTTCAAGCAGTTGAAGCAAACATAACTGAGTCTGGGTTGGATGGGGTGCCAAAACTGGGAATGGGATTTGACTCAGAGGAGCATGCTTATGAATTTTATAATATGTATGCTGGCCGTGTAGGTTTCAGTGTACGAAAAGATTATGTAAATAGGAGTAAAGTTGATGGTGCTATAGCATCTAGAAGGTTTACTTGCTTCAGAGAAGGTTTTCGGCAGAAAGACAAGCGGGACATGAATGTAAAGAGACCTCGGAAGGAAACTAGAATTGGATGTTTAGCACAACTGGTAATTTCTCGTCAACCTGATGGTATGTATCATGTAACTCACTTTGAAGAAAAACATAATCATGAGCTTGTTGCTGCATGTAGAGTTCATATGTTAAGATCGCAAAAGAGATTAGCTGCAACTCAAGTTGAAAACAACTCTGTAGATGGATCCAATGTGCTGCCGAAGTTGGCCTCTGAATCTTATTGCAAGACTACTGAAGGTTTTGATGATCTGGATTATGATCCCATAGGTTATGAATGTAAACTACCTTTCAAATGTACCAGAGAAATAAAGGAGGGAGAAATTGAGAAGATTAGGCATCACTTTCAAAGCAAGCAATCAAAGAATCCTTCTTTCTTTTATGCTTTCCAGCTTGATGCTGATGATCAAATAACAAATATATTTTGGGCTGATGCAAAGATGATAGTAGACTACAGTGATTTTGGCGATGTTGTTTGTTTTGATAGTAGTTATAAGTTTTATAAGGGCTCCCGCCCATTTGCACCATTCCTTGGCATAAATAATCACAAGCAAATGATTATCTTTGGGGCTGCTCTTCTATATAATGAATCTGTGGAATCTTTGAAGTGGCTGTTTCGAGTTTTCATTGAGGCAATGTCTGGAAGGAAGCCAAAGACAATCCTTACAGATCAAGATGCAATAACAGCTGAAGCAATCAATTCCATATTACCTCAAACAAATCACCGAGTTTGTGTATGGCATGTCTACCAAGAAACCCTCAAGCAACTAAGTCATTTGTCTGTTGGATCTGGTTCTTTACTAAATGATTTGAGCAGCTGTTTTTTTTATCATGAGGAGGAGGAGGATTTTGTTAATGCATGGAATGCTCTCCTGGACATGTATGATCTGTGGGAAAATGAATGGTTGCGTCAAATATATGAAAGCAGAGATCAATGGGCCATAGCTTACAGGAGACATATTTTTTGCGCAGACATGGCAAGCATGCTACTGAGAGAAAATCTTACTGGCAACCTCAAAAAGCACCTAAAGAATGACTCAGATGTTCTTCCATTTTTTAAACATCTTGGGAAGGTGTTGACTGATTGGCACTACAAGGAATTAGAAGCAAACTATGACATGAGCCAACGCATGCCAGCCCTAATGGGGGATATCATTACGTTAAAGCATGTAAGAGATCCATACACACCAAAGATATTTGAATTATTCCAGAAAGAATATGAAGCATGTTTAAATCTTGTGGTAAAGCATTGCACTGAGAGAGGATCATTGTATAGTTATACAATTAGCGTATATGAACAAATACGAGAGTATTCGGTTACTTTTGATTCATCTAATGGGACAATCAGTTGCTGCTGTATGAAATTTGAATATATGGGAGTCATATGTAGCCATGTATTAAAAGTTCTTGATTATAGGAACATAAGGATACTTCCATCCCTGTACATTTTAAAGAGATGGACAAAAGATGCTAGAGTTTGAATTGTCAATTTTTGGAAGCAAATTTGAACATGTCATTAGAAGGCTGTTAACCAAGATGTGGCTTCCATTTTACTGATATAAGGTAGCATTTCAGGACATTGTAAACTTTATTTAGAATTACAATATCAAATTTCAGGACACTGCATTTCAGGACATTGTAAACTTTATTTAGTCTTTCCTATTGTAAACCCTAACCCTCGCAATCCTAATAGAGTCGCGAATTCTAAAAGAATTATGGGATGAAGAATAGAGTAAAATAAATTCAATTAAATAATTAACCATAAACTTAACCAAAATACAAGGGGTTCACATCAATGGTTGTGACCCTTACCACAATATAAAAGACTAGCCAGACATATTCAAGTCTGACAAAACAAAGTATTCAAAAGAATTCATAAAAACTAGAAATGACCGGAAAGAATGGAAGAAGAAATCTTGATCTTCAGTCACCGAAAGCTTGCTCCGATTCCTGTCGCTCGCAATTTCTTCTGTGCAAAAGTGTGTTTTTCTCTTGAGGTCTGAGTCTCTATTTATAGAGTCTTTGACCTAATGGAGAATCTTGATTTAATCTTTTTCGCATCTCACTGTAATCTTGTCTCTGATTTAAACGAAGATTTAAGTTGATTTGTCCGCACCTCCCACGCCACTAGTGTGGTTCCCACGTTGTGAGCGTGGGAGTTTTTCTTCTATATTCTGGAGCACCACGCAACTGGCGTGGCTGCCACGCTGCAAGCGTGGATTGTGAAAAAGGCTGTAATCTTCCTGTAAGGGGAATAGTTATAATAGTACTTGCGCATTAATCCTCATGGGATGATATTCTTATTTCACTACTTTATTACTTGAAACGATCGGTATACTTGCTGTAATCGCAACAATGACTATATATATAATTGCTAACCAGTGTGTAGGCAATTCCTTGTTTTGTAAAAGTATTCAGGTTTTGCAATAGTTACAAAATTATATATATTTTATTCATTAGGGAAACACAATACTTATTGCATAGTCTCTATGAAAAGTTTTATTAATTTTTTTTTCTATCTTGGCCAAATTCAATTGACTTTCGAGTGTAAAGACTATTCAGTATTGCCTCATCAGTTATTGTTGCTGATATAATCATCGAAAGTTTGGAAGGTCTTGATTGACACGAGGTACATAACCATAATATTTTAACCTTAATTGTAACTTGAAATATGTGCTATAATGATCTATAGTTTATTTGAAGATCATGTTTACGTGTTACATCTCTTTAATTGATGTTTGAAGTTTAAACTATATTCTCATTATTGCAGTTGTTCCCAACTCCTATTTCAGATCTATCCTGTGGAAGTTCGTTGATCATATAGTGAAACTTTTCCTGAATTAGTTAAAATTACTAGTACTTTGGCATATATATAACCATCTTCGTAGTGGACCTTGAAGTGAAAAGAGAAAAAGATATCCAACTAAGTAATGTAATATCTCAATCCTAAGGCTTAACTACCACTTATTCATCTTATTGTTGGGTATAACTCATACTTCGCATGCTGATGAGGGTTCTATTTATTTATTTTTTTAAACCGAATGACTTGTAACGAGTGGCGGTGAGGTGAATATAGTACAGACAAACTGGACGTAGCCTAAATTAAGGTGAACCAGGATAAATCCTTTAATTTGAACAAATTAAAAAAAAACAATTTTAAACACAGTCACTTATGATTTAAATTTTTTTAATCACTTATTCCTTATTTAAATTTTTATTCAAATAGACATAAATGTTATTGAAAATTGTAACCACCCATGTCGGTATTTTATTTTATACAAGAAACAAATCATCATAAAAATAGAATTATAAGTTGCTAAAAAAACCAAGAATTTGGAATCACAATGTTGTTTAAATTACAATCAGGCTTGTTTATCAAAAAAAAAAATAATTACAATCAGGCTTCATTGTACAATTTTTAGATTTAACAATTATACACATTGTTAATCCATTTATATGAACTTTGGATAGCCCATAAACAAAACTTAAAACTAGATAATTTTATTGAAAAACTGGATTAGTTTATGGGTTTGGTGTTTGTCATTTTAAATGACATAAGTTATATCATTTTAGGAAAGAGATAGACACAGAAAAACAGAAATCATGGGAGAGAGAAAGTGAGTAGTTTTTTTAATTTAAAATTCAAATTTTCTGTGTCTATATCTCTCTTAAAATGACATAACTTTCTGTCATTTAAAATGACAAACACTTTTTCCTTAGTTTATACCCATTTATTGGAAGTTTTGGATTAGTTAGATGTTCATCCTAATTCCAAGATTCAGGCTGTAACAAGTTTATAAATCTCGGCTTCTAAATTTTTTGTGTTCTAGAACTCCGGCGTATCAAAACAACTTTTACAAATCTAACTTAAGTTCTACGAACTCATTCATGGTCTAAAGCTTTGGTAAGAAAAGGGAAGGGTATTTGTTTTAAATTGAGGCAGACATATTAGAAATTAATAACTCTTCTTTTTTCAATAACAGGGAAAGACAACAACAAACTAAACAGCAAAATGCAACATCCTAGGGGTGGCAACTAGAGGTGGCAAAATGGGCGGTCCACCCCGCCCCGCCATCAACTCGTCAAAAAATGAGTCAGCCCGCTCCGCTCCGCTTTTGAAAGTGGGTTGAAAAATTGAGCCCGCCCCTCCCCGTTTGGCGGGTTGGTCCGTCAGCCCGACCCTATTTTACACTGACCCGCCTCGGCCCGCCTATGTCCGCCATCAACCCACCAAAAAATGAGTCTGCCCCGTCCCGTTTAGCCGATGAGACGGGTTGGCCCCGTTTTGCCGGCTCTAGTGGCAACCCTTGACATATCTTTCATAACTAATCTACTACACACTAAAGGAGGGTTATCAAAGAGGTGAGTTTCCCGATTCATTAGGGCTGGTAAAATTAGCCATCCAATTCGCTATTGAATTTCCTTCCCTAAGCGTGTGAGAAGTGACCACCACCCAAGACCGCTTCAACATGTTGAAGATTCTTCCAACCAGGTTTGAGTAAGGATAATGGGTGTTGCACCTAGAGGAGATGAGCTTTAAGGCAATAGTAGAGCCATTCTCCAGGTATATCCTATAAAGCCCTTTAGACCAAGCAATCTCAAGGCCAATGAAAAGGCCCCAAAGCTCGGCTACAATAGCATTACCACAACCAAGATTCTTGGAAAAAACCAGAACCCACCTACCACTGCTATCATGAAGAACACCCTACACCCCATCCGGTTGTCAGGGGATCTACAAGATCCATCAGTGTTAATCTTAGTCCAATCCTCAGGGTAAAAATTCCAACGTACCAAGCACTCTTTATTTAGCTGAAAGGAAAGGCCAGCATTGCTAAGGGTAGACTCAGCCACAAAGATGTTCATCACAAAGATAGAAATACTTCTAGCAATGGAAGCAGGATCGCAATGTTGGTTGTTGAAGACCATATTGTTTCTCTATTTCCAAATGATCCAGCACGTCACACCAAAAGTGATCACCCAATCCTGAGACAACAGATTGTGATGCCTAGCTTTAAGATTGTCATTCTCCAGCCAGAACTTTGTGTTGTCCCCCTCACCAATCAAGATCCTAGACCCGGCCAAGATGTGTTGGGTTTTAAACTTTATTTAATTAAAGAAAATAGAAAATGAAGAGTTTTGTGATAAAGGGGTGTGTCTCTTAGGAATTTGTTAGTGGATATTAATGAGTTTAAAGTTTCTAAGAAGTAGTCATTAATGTGTTTAGATTTCCTAAGTTAGTCATTAGTATTTCTAGTTATTTGCTATTGCTTTTAAATAGTAACATGTAATTCATTTGAATGTAAGGCTTGAATGTTAATAATATACGAAGAGGTATATTCAGAGAACTCCTTGTGTGTTTTAAGTGTTTGAGAGAAACACCATTAGAGGACCTGTGATTCACAAATTGGTATCAGAGCTTGAGTTATGGAGAGTGTGAGCACTTCCAGTATGTCGTTGCCCCGCCTGACAAAGGCGAATTACGTGAATTGGAGTATCCAGATGAAGGCGTTGCTCGGATCCCAGGATGCTTGGGATGTTGTTCAGGACAGTTTTGCTGAACCTGCAACCACTGCAGGATTTACAGCAGCTCAAACCAAGGCGTTGAAAGAGACGCGTGCGAAGGACAAGTCGGCCTTATACACGCTTTTCCGAGCTGTAGACGAGTCCGGATTTGAGAAGATAGCAGGAGCAACGACGTCTAAGGAAGCATGGGACATCTTGGAAAATGTCTATAAAGGTGCTGACCGAGTAAAGCAGGTCCGACTTCAAACTCTACGTGGCGAGTTGGAAGGCATGAAGATGAAAGATTCAGAGGGTGTATCCGAGTTCATCACCCGAGTTCAAGCCGTGGTGAATCAGTTAAAGCAGAATGGTGAGCAGATATCTGAGACTAGAGTTGTTGAGAAGATTCTGAGGTCGCTGACCGACGACTTCGAAAATGTGGTATGTGCAATTGAGGAGTCGAAGGACTTAGCTACGCTTTCTGTTGAAGAGTTAGCAGGTTCCCTTGAGGCGCATGAGCAGCGCAAGAAGAAGAAAAAGGAGGAGTCGCTGGAGCAAGCACTCCAGACAAAAGCAACCATTAAAGATGAGAAGGCGCTCTATTCTCAAAATGTCTGAGGTAGAGGTCGTGGACGAGCTGGACGTGGAAATGGCCGAGGTGGTCGTGGCCGAGGTCATGAGGTGAGAAATGAAGAAAGAGCTGAGTCGAGTCAGAGAGGAAGAGGACGTGACCGAGGTGGAGGAGGCCGGTGGTCAAATCAAACAAATGTGGAATGTTACAAGTGTGGCAAGTATGGTCATTACTCGAGAGATTGCAACTCGGACAAGTGTTACAACTGTGGCCGAGTTGGGCATTTCGCTAAGGATTGCCGAGATGAAAGAAAAGTTGACGAGGCTTCAAACCTCGCTGTAGAAGGAGATGAAGGAGTTCTTATGCTAGCCCATGGTGAAACCAGTTCAAAGAATGAGACGGAGTGGTATTTGGATACCGGTGCCAGTAACCACATGTGTGGTTACAAACACTTGTTTAAGGAGTTGAAGACGGTGGAAGCCGGACATGTCTCTTTTGGAGATGCGTCCAAAATTGAAGTAAAGGGCC